GCAGATAAAAGCTGATTTTGTTGACTAATAAAACAGAGCCGGTGATCAATATCACTGTAAATTGCCTTTGTTGGGAAAGACACCAGCAGAAGTGAATAAATATAATCATGCAAAATAGCTTCAATAGGTCTATTGGTTTATAGAACCTACTCACACATGGCCATTACTGCATAGGCAGAGAAACAGTAGAGCAGACGCCACGGAGCGTTGATCAAACGCCCGCTGAGCAAATACAAACTCAGACGATCGGCGGAAAAACAGAGACAACACAAATCCTGGTTGACAAAAACCATAAATACCAATAAGGCCGGTAATTGACCGGGAGGGAACGACCGGTCCCGTTTGACCCGAGCGTTTCTAAGGATGCAATGACATCAGAAGATTATTCTTCTGAATTACCTAGATGGTGTTTTAGTGAAAAAGCCATTAATCAAAATCACCCAATAGTTCTACAGTAAAAAAAAAAAAAGAAAAAAAATCCACAACCTTCCCGTGACAGCGCAGAGATTTCTAGCAAAGCTATAAAGCAGTGTCATGAATGACTGGCCCCACTCCAAAGCCATTAATGATGTTATGATTGAACTCTCATTCACAGAATAACCCAAGACGTTCAAAATGTCACATCACGTTTGTCAGCAACAGATTATTCCGACAGCCCAAGGGCAGGACGTCCAGACGCGCCCTTGGTTCTGTTCATTAACATCTGACTTTTAAGAGAAAAAAAAAAACGACGGTAGCAGTGGCACAAATATGGATAATTTTAGTCGTACACAACCATCTCACGGCAGGACCATTACTCACCATCAGACGGAGCAACGACCATTTCTAAGAGCTGCATTAAAACACTCATTCTGAACATGATGTACAACACTCCCTTCGCTGAAGAGTAATGATGATCTTTGTTTCCCCCGTGTTTATTTTCAGGACTTTTGTGTCACATCATTTTCACAATGATAACTTACTCTGCATGTAAATGCGCTTCATTCACGTGAAATGATTCTGTCCTGGGGAGATCTGTGAAATTCCCACACGGGCCGTGATAGATAAATTAAGAGGAATAGAGGCAGGAGTTGTCTGAAGCAACAGATGATTTATTCTCACATTTCCTCCTTTGTTTTTAACTACATCTCTGCGAGGGGTAGGTTTGGCTGTTGGGAAGGGCAGACATTCTTCATATTCAGAGCTGGCTGGTGAATTCATCACACACTTATTCAGAGGAATATCTGATGAGAATGATCCACATCATTTGAACGGTATGGCTTGTTATTTATAAACAACTGCACAGTTTACATTATTCACAATTCCCAAAAGCTGCATGAGAAATGAACCAGATGCTGAGAGTGGATGAGATTTGCATTATATCGTTTTTCCAAGGAGATGCATTGCCATTATGTTGGTTTGCCTCCACTGAAATAGCCAATTACCTTCTTGCACTGTGCTGCCACTTGCTCTTAGTTCTTGGCTGGTGTTGAGTGAGGACAGCCAGGAGTTTCGGGATCAGTGTGCCATCACATCCTTGTCGGAGAAATAGTTGCTGCATGCTGACAAATTAATTACTGTATTATTTCCATGCTGAAATATGAGGTGATCAAACCATTTGTGGCACGGAGCAGGAGAGTGCTCCCAAGCAAAAAAAAAAAAAAAAAATTGGCCAGAAAAAGGGAAGGGGGAAAAAGCTGATATCATATTACAGCTTTTCAGGAAGGCTATAAAAAGGGACTGTGCGTGTGAGAGAATGTGTCATGGAGTCGGGGCCAGTGGAACAAAGGCTGGCTCAGAAGAGAGGGCGAGACTTCGGCACTCTATATTCAAAACTGCCTTAAGATAAAGTTCTTAAAGTGGCTGTCAGATGCTGCTCTGAAGTCAATAGTCAGACTCAAATATGAAGTCCTTCACTTCTCACTTTCATTTCCTTTAGCCTGAGAAAAAAAGAAAAGAAAAGCACAACACTGTCCTCAAAAGGCGATATTGCTCTTCCCACATGTCCTTTCCCCAAAAATAATTTAAAGATGACTCTGAATTCAGGTGTCAGATCAAACCCGCTGTCACTTCATTAAAGCATATGCCAACATCTTCCTCCAGCTGCATTATTACCACACAGAGCCGTCTTCATAACATACAATTTCCTCGCCTCACGCTCTTTTGACCCCGCGATGCCTTTCCATCAAGGTCAAAGTAAAATGCTCATAGGAATGGAAGAATGGAAGGGGGGAAATAAAACAAAAGGAATCAGAACTGGACCAAATCTCTCTTCTCATGAAATGCAGAAAAAAAAAGGATCACGTATGACAGAATGGATTGGAAAAAAGAGGATGACGAGAGCACATGCAATCAATTCACCCTTTGGTGCAAGAGGCAAACCTCCAAAGAAAACTCCTCATAAACATTCAATTTGTACCAGGATTCCCAAAATGTGTTCTCATTTATTGCACCTATGGTGCAGATCTGGTGAATCGCTGTAGAAACATGGCATCCAATCACAAACAGGAAGTAGGTTTGCTGCTGCTGCTGCTCCGCCCGCCGCTCTTGGATTTTTACCACTCTGGCGACCCCATCCGTTTCAATTCAGTTGAGGTAGATAATGCATTAAATTAATTTAATACTAATTAATGTGGATTTGGGATTAATCAGTCACGTAATTTCCTGTTTTTTTTTTCTTTATACGAGCAGGGATGTTCACGGAGCCGTTTGAACGTCTGGTTTGAACCACATGCTGAATGGTTGTTTCATATTCTGCACCAAGGGCTGGAGAAAATGAGGGATCAAGGGAATGTGAATGCTCCCTCATCTCATCTAAGCTGGAGTGAAACCTCACTTTGGCTGCCATTCTCATACACATATGGAGTTTCTTTTTTTTTTTAGGAAGGGAACGAGTGAAGAGAAATGCATTTGGTTTCACGAACTAAATGAAATCCTGCCCAGGGTTTGATGATAACGTTTCAGGGCTTGAAGAGCCACATATATTTTGTCAGTGAGGCTTTTAGTAGATGCCCAGAAAGCCTGTTTTTTGTTTTGTTTTTTTTTTTTTTTTGGTCAGCACTAAAATTTTTCAGTTGCACAGGTAATAGCCTAATTATCAGGCTTATATTCCGAGTGCCGGTGTTTATTAGTATGTTTATTTATTTATTTAAGCTACGGGCAGTGTCTTTGTTGCAATCCGAATACACCGAGAAATGAGAATGAATTGAGCAGGAGGTATTACATCTGCGGGCTGCTGCCGGTTTGAAATGAGGAAGCAGCTCTCTGTTTGAGTTAGACTATCTCTGTTTTTTATTTATCTTTGCTTAGGCTGTACATAAAAACACACACAAACCACAAATGATCTTGCTTCAGATGTTTGGCAGAACAGTCCCGCCACAAAAGGACAATTTTCAAAATGTAATTGATGAACGTTTCGTTTCACTGTGACAAATTCCACAGAGTGCAGAGTCCAGATTGGCCAGAAGTCCGACTGTCAAAGCTGGATCTCGATGCACTCGCAGCTCTGGGGTCAATATTGCAAACAGAGTTCTGTGTCCAACACAAACAATTTTGATTCGAGTGCTCCCGCCGATCCAAACATTTACTTATCCAAATATACTCACATTTAGTGCCTAAAACGACAAAGAAGGTTGTTGGTCATTAGGCGGCGAGAGGACGCAGTAAAAGAGTGTTCCCAGTGACTGATGACTGTGCTTTAAGCCCTTTGTTGGTCAACTAGTTTCTAATAGTGTGCAAGTGCTCCCATACAGTCCACTAAACGCTCATACAAATTAATATTCCAATCAACGTCAGGACCTTTTAGACCTGTAATAAGCATAGCTGAACTGGTATCAGCTCCGAGTTTCCCTGACTTTAATTGTGGCCTATTATTATAATTTTGGGGCAAATGCAGAGGCCACTGAATCGTTTTAAATTGACCTTTACATTTTTCTATTATTCACAGCGTTCTGCTATACACTGTCTGAGGTTTAGTATAGAACAGGAGGAATGGAGATCTGAGAGGAAGTGCAGCACAGCTTACAGAGCTCCAGTCTGGTGTGATTTAAAACTGTAGGAAAAGATGAGCTGGTGCTCAGAGATGAAAGGGCATCTATTGTACATGAATAAATACTTCCAACGCCACGGAGGCTTTTAGAGAGAACTCATCAGTCTTATCATTTCAGTCTTATTTCCAGAAGATGATTTGTAAGAGAGAGAGAGAGAGAGAGACAGAAAGAGTGAGAGAGAGAGAAACATCATGGAAACACAGGCAATTAGATCCACAACTAAGCAACAGCTGAAAGTTGATGATTTCCCAAAGGGTCGGGCTAATACACCAAAACACCATGGCACCTTGTCATGTGTATCTTTAAACAAATCACATTCAATTTGTTCAGATGTCACTCTTGCATGACGTGACACCATTTACAGAGTTTCAGGTGAAACCAGAAACATATCATTCAGGACTCCATCCACTGGATGATCCTGTCACTGAGATTGATGGTTATGGAATTAAAAAAAACAGAGCAGAAACATCTTGACTGCATATGGTTATATTAAATCCAGAGAAAGCAGAGGACAGGGCCCAAAGAGAGGCATCGTAGCATTTTTAAGGAAATGGGGAGTGGTTTTAGAGTACCCGAGGGTGGCGCAAGGCACGTACACAGACGGCATTACAGTCAACAAATACTTTAAAACGTGTAGATTCATGTCAACATCAACATTAGACGTAAAGGTAATGATGAGTCAAGAGAGGATTGCAGAAATACTCCTTGTATTGACTGCAGTGTTTGCAGGTTACACTGCAGTTTGTACAGAGAGCAGAGAGCAGGTGGAGAACAGCTTCAAGTTGCTGAGATTATCACTGTGAGTGACCAGGATGGACAGGATGACAAATGAGCATATCAGAGGAACAGCTAAGGTTGAGCAGTGAAAAGAACTAAGATTAAAATTAATTCCAAAGGGAGACTGTGTTACTTTTGGACCTTTACAAACTGTGACCTTCACACTTTGTCAGTGTCTGTTTGTGTGATTCCTACCTCCACAGGAGCTCCTGCTCTTTGTTGGATAATCGGGCTGTCACACGGCTCCTTGCCTCAGATTCTCTTCTGTCCTGTTGATAAAAAAAATAAATCACACAAACAGCATTTAGACCATTTGGATTTCTGCCTTCAAGGCAATGTTTGGACCATTAAAAAAAACAAACAAAAACTATGTATCAAGTAAAATCACATCATTCACAAATACCAACATGTACTGCATTCTAAATTGTGTAAAGTGACAAACCAACCTGTGTGGTTGATGATAAACTTCATCTGTAGGAAATATCACATTAAATCAACAAACACTTGAGTTAGTAGAGATAACATCAGCTCCACTACAGTGTCAAACAAACCACAACAAACTGCCTGTGGAAATCACAGTCTTTGTAAGCTCAGAGAGCTAGTAGGCTAATGCTAATGTCAGCTGCTGAGCAAACTTGCTATTAAAAACTTGGTTGATGGTAAAAACACAAAGATCCTTCTCACCTTCCACCTGTTGACTGTGACCTGTGACCTGGTGTGACTGTCAGTGTGGATCACTGCACATGGTGTTCCGCTGCTCCTTCATCAACTCCCTGCTAGCAGGCCTCGTGCATTTTAGGCAGTGCTGCCCTCTGTGGTGTGGAGCTCTTACTGCACCTTTATTCAGCTTCAACTTGAATGCCACAAAAAGGAAAGTATTTTAAAAGTAAAAAGGAAAGATTTTGACTTGCAAGGTCAAAAAGGAAAAGAGAGAGTCTCTACAGAAATGTCTTGAATGTGATGACAAGAGACTTTGGGAAAGTTGGTGTAACAGTAGAGGAAGCAAGAAAAGAGGGTGACAGATCTAAAAAGTATTGTAGATGGCCTGGCCATGGGAAGAAGTTTCCTTTCTAGGATTGGCAAGATATTGTATTATATGTTCTGATTGAGTCACCATTTGACAAGATATAGTTGACAGAAGACTATAAGTTGTACTAAAATTTATACGTAACCCGATTCCTGATTTTTTTAACACATGCAGACATTAGGATTGAGATTTAAATTCCGTAGGGTGTCATTGACGTTTAACATGTGCGTTAATTCACAAAATATTCATTTAGCCCACAAACAGAGTGGAAGCTGAGGTGGGAGCTGCTGCCACCCTGTGCTACTCAGAATAAAGGGTAATTAAGTGGGTACTTCATTACTTGTACATAAACTGAAGTATGTAGCATTTAAGAAAAAAGGAAATACCGTATGTTCCAAATCTTTTTCCACAGGCGGTGCAGACAGTCATGTGATCAGGGCCAGAGGCCACGCCCTCGGTATCTGCATGCAGAATCCTGTTGATGTTGTTCGACTAACGTGACTTTAAGGTCAAAATATGAAGCCACCGTGTCTGACGTAAGTAGTTCATACAAACAAATGTTCTCATCATGAGGTTAAGCCGCCTGGGCTGCTCTGATGTTTACTCAAATTTCACAGCATTATGGGTAACCTACTTTTGCTCATCCAAAGGGAGAGGGTAGCTGGCAGCTGCTTTCCAGACTTTTGTGCCAGCGGACTGATCTATCTCTGGGTGCCATGGTGGGTGAATAAGGATATTCTCTACAATGCTTTATTCATGTTGACAGTGCCTCCCATTAAAGCAGGGCATCAAGGTTGCATGGAAACAGCTTACCATATGTACCCTTACCGGAATAAAGCTATAACATCCAAATAATCTTTCTATTATTACCTCCCGGTGTGTGAGATAATCTCCACAGCTGCAGTCGGAGTCTCGCAGTCGACCTGAAACCTGAAGGTTCTGTTGCTGTTATATTACTTTGCTGATTTCTGTTAAAAAAAAAAACGAAAAAAAAAAAAAACTTGGCAGTTGCAAATCTTTATTGAATGAGCTCCGTAGTCTGATGAGGCTGTGACTTATCCATACCTGGCAACAAACATAGAGAGTATGTGTCGTAGCTTTCAGTCAAATCTTTAGATGCAACAACAATAAATAAACAGGTACATACAATTACACAATAATATATAAAAACAAATCACATCTGGAGAACGTTCTTGTCTTCACATTATGAACAGTGGACGGTCAAACAATTTAGGAATAACCTCACCTGAAAATATTCATATTTATTTACATAAATGTGAAAAAAATAAATCTGATGACATGGTACAGGTTAACTGAAACTTAAATCAACCATTTGGAAAGGTGCTCAAGGCTTGATCTCACAGTAGGACGGAGAGTACCGTCAGTGTTTGTGTGCACACAGATTTAGACGTTAGATGTCGGCAACAAACTCCCTCCCAGAAAAATTGAGAACAGTCTACATGTGGGTCACAGTCTGGGTTTTTAACTTACACTTTTTAATTGCTTTGGGAATTGTGGTTTCTTATTCCAGCAGTTTTAGATATTTTTATTTAAAAATAATCTTCTGGACATAGATCTGGACTGCAGGCCAAGCAGCGAAGCACAGGATTTTCAAAGAGTAACACTTGGTAGTTTAAAGAGAAAAAAAACCCACCTGAACTTGTCTGCTTGAAAAAGTCATTAATGGACTTTGTCAGCGAGATGGAAAGAGCAGCATTATTTATCATCACATATATGTCTGCACCCAGTGCATTCTGGGAGCAGGGAAATTATTTTCTTGTAAGATGTTTAACTGACATTATTATCACTTTTGATTTCTTAACATTCTTTAGTCTTTTTTCACTTTAGCTCCATTGTATTGAGAGAATAGCATGCATTTATACATTTTTAATTTTTAAAAACGTTATAATTAAAAACACAAAACACTTGGTGTCAAAATTCTGGTTAAAATGGTTATATGACAAACTTTGTGTCCTTCAGTACAGACAATAACATAATCGGTACCAGGCTGATTGTCTACACAGGTACATGGTCAAAAAGCTCCCAGTTTATGCAGCACTCTTTTTTTTTTTTTTTGCCAACATTTAACCCTGTTTCACACAAACAAATCTGTACAGAGAATGAAGCTGTGTGGCACTTCTTTCTATTACACACATTTGACACTAGACTGGCACTGCTGTCTGGGGCAATTAATGTTTCACTGTCTTGCCTAAGGGGTGGTTGGAGTCAGGTTAGGATTGCAGACTGCAAGAACTGGATGTTCAACCACACGATTTCTGATAAGTTGGTGAGCGCCTCCTTCCTCCTGCTCTGCAGAAACACTTCATAATTATTTGCATTCTGTTCTCAGCCTGGAAACTCTAATCATTCCAAAGGTGTAAACTGACTGACCCTACAGGTGGTAATATGGCAGTAAGATGGATGTCATTTGAACTAACTGTACCCACCTACACAGTACTCCAGCAAATTTTAATCAGCCAAAATACCCAGAAGCACCTGCGTTGGTGGACCCTCTGGTGAATTAAAGCTTTAATGTCAGCTGAACATCTGCAAAGCATCGACACTTTAAATGGCACTGAAATCAGTTTATCATCTCCAAAGAATCCATCCTTCACCTCCTGTTTTGTTTTTTGTTTTTTCTTACACATTTGTCACAAATGCCATGTTTTTTTGTTTGTTTTTTTTTTTGGGGAGAGGTGATTTTCAAGCCACAGAGCGCTTCTGAGTACACAAAGAGAATTTTTGTACTCTCACAAGTGAGGATGAAAAAACCATCAGAGTAAACAAACGTGCGTTGTGACGACTTCAGCTCAAATGTTTGCCTCAGGTAAACAACGAATCCAAATAGATAGAAATCAGTGGCTCGTGTGTAGAAGACCCCTCAGCGGGCGCCGGTTTACTGCAGTATTTTCTGCAGCGACGGCTCCACATTAGAATAAATGTTGAACAGATCACCTGTCTGTGGAAGATTTGTGCCATTTTCACTGTCACTGTTACCTTCACAGTGTTTAACAGCTGAGCAGTGTGGAGGACTGTGAAAAAGCCTACGTGACACTTAACGGACAATCCCGTTCAATGTCTGCCACTTAAATCAGACAGACAGCTTTGCACTTCACCAAACTGCATTGATTCAATAAAGTGTCTATTGTCTATCTATCCGGTTCTCCCTCTTTTCCTCCATCTTTCTCACCTGTAAAATTTCTCTTTTGCCACGGCAGACAAAGCACTTAGAGGGTGATGCCTTTTAGTCTCAGAACTTGGGTGGATATGACAGAGTGCATTAGCTTCTCCACTTTATGCAGATACTGGCCCACTTTGTCACTAAAAAGGCATGTGCTGGACTATTTTTGCCCAATTCAAAGTAGAGAAAGTGTGTCATGACCCACTAACACAAAGCAAAAAAACCTGTGTGAAGTCCTGCCGGTTTGTTCCCTCACGGATGCTGCATCCTTTCTTTGCATTAAATATTAACCATGATTGACAGATTGGCATTCATTTGAACTCCCCTCCAGGGATGGAGCCATTAGTAACACCTTTTAAACAAGCCCTAGAAATAAAAAGGACTTTGTACTCCTATTCTTTTTGGCAGAAAAAGTCAGTTTAAAAAAAGAGAGAAAAAAAAAAAGAAATGTTAATTCCAGTGGGTATGAATGAAAACTAATGCAGTTAACTGTGTCATATACAGTATAAATGGGGACAAAACAATGTCGGAGGCACAGTGTTTGTCACGCTCGTCCAGACTGCCCTGTCAAGTCTGTCTGCGGTCACAAAGGGAGAATAAATTGACTTCATTTGCTTCAGCACATGCATATTATTAGAACGCTACTTTGAATCCAAATTAAGAAAAATCATTACCGAATCAGGAAAGATGGCATTTGCAATTCATTTTCACTTCACTGCACTTCATAGACATTTTTAACAACACATTATTGAATTTGGTTATTATCATCATTCAGATGGTTCCCAGTGTGTCTGCAGGACGCTTCCTCAAAATGTGTCCTTTGATTGGTCCACGTAGTTTTGTCACACTTAGTTTTGTCACTGGTTATTTTCCAGGCAGTCATCCGTGTACAAGGACATAGTGCTGCATAGTGAGAAGACCAAGTGCACTGTGATTCATCATCACTGAGTAACACCATGCTCGTTATTTTTTTTTAAAAAATTTTAAAGCCGAAATTTAGGTGAGATATTTACCGGTAAAATATTACCTCTGTTGTGAGCTTTTAATTTGCTGTCCATAACCCACGGAGGGAACGATTCATCCTCTAAAACGATTGGCCTCGTGTTTACACGGAAAGTAACCGTTCTTATTTGTTTGACGGACAATATGCATGCTGTCAGCTTATACACAATAACGGCTGCTGCTAAAGGTCATTTCTAATTTTGACAAGGCCTCGTCTTCTGGGTTTTCTTTTACAAATAAAAAAAACAAAATACCAGTATTATAACCATAGACTGCACATAAAAAATGGATGCAGCCATCTTGTAGCAGGCAGCGGTTGCAAAGAGAAGTCATCAAAGACGACTAGAAATACTCTACTCGTTTTGGAAGTGAGGCTGCTTTGGGCAAAAGTAACTCTTATTGGGTCGTGATAAAAACCTAAAAAAAAGATGCTCTGTTTTTGGAGCGTTTTGTTTGTGTTTTTTCATGTCTTTTAGTAGAGTAAGCGGTAAACATTGCATGGCTTTTCTGTTGGCTGCGAGGCTCAGACTTGGCTGATAGCCAGCTGTACTCTGTATGGGGTAGTAGGCAAACAACTTTTACTTTTTTGTTTTACTCTGGAAACTCAAATTAATCAAACTAAGTTGAAATGGTCATGAAATATTACCAGGTCTCCAGCTGTTAACTATGAACTGAGGCCATATCTATGTGCCGATGAAAACAAGTGTCTCCTTTTCACCAAGTCAACATTTTCCCTGACGATCATATGGACTCAGTGTGACCAATATGAGGACGTTGTCTTTTGCCTTGGTCCTCTGGTTATTGCCAAACATAATGGTGCAATAAGTGTCTCATCTATTAGTAGCTGATATCAAAACATTACGCCAGGTTCCTGTTCAGTGATCCAAGTAGTAGCTTCACACACACACACTGTCTGTCTTTGTACGTTATCATTCATTTGCCCTCCAAGTTACTGAGCAGGAGTCTGGTCAGTATGAAGCAGTTTGCAATATTAAATTTAGATCCGTGCAATGTTTTCGCAATGACAAAAATTATACCTGCAATATTCTGGACAACAACCATTTAGTGGTGTTTTAATTTACTGTGTAATATTTAGTCCAGGACCAGCTGGACCGCCAATCATTTACAAGTATTTCTGTTTTTGACTCTGATTCTAAATGAGGTTGTGAGCTTCAAAATGTACACGTTCTGTTAAAGGACACTTAAACGTAGTGTTGAAAACATGATGTTCAACTCTTTAGGAAAATGTTTTTCATGGCTTTCCAAATAGTTTGACCTATGGTTCATCCTTCTAGATACTGCTCCAGGACCTTTGAGTAGTTTTCCCTCTATGCTGATGACTATTTGCATTATAGTATATACTATAAGTGTGATATATATATGGATGGATGGATGGATGATAGATAGAACTTTATTAATCCCTCGGGAGTTCCCTTTGGGAAATCCTTACTTTAATTATTAACTATTGAATTAACACTGCTTTTATTGAATAATCAATGGTGGTTGTAATATTTGTTTTGTTTAGTTTTTTCATTTTATTGCACTGAATGTAGTGTTGCTGCAACACTGTGTTTCGTACATGAAAAGCAAACATGCTAATGTATTCAGAAGAAGGTCTCTTTTTTTCTATTTTCTATTTTCTGCCTTGAAGGCTTTTGTGCTGCGTTCAATGTCGTCTATGGTTAAAATGAAAAGAAGACAATCTCAGGATTGTTTGTTTGCTGCGTTTGAGAGTCGTTTCCTCACCAACAGTTTTCAGCCAAGTGGAACCATCGCCCATAATAGTCGGTGGAGGTGGAAGACAAGCTCTTAATCGTCTGTGTTATTGAATTATTGAATTAAAAGCTTAAGTACACAGGGTGAGCATGTCAATTTTTCACAACTGAATGGTACACTGCTTGTTGCATTTTCATCTGAATAGATCATTTGTGTATGTAAAATGCAGAAGAATGGCGGCGTTACACAGATCACTTTCATTGTCTGTAATTCCCTTTCAAAATGACTGTAATCATTCTGAGACAACGTCACGTTCATCAAACGTTACATGCTTCCTACGACGACACGGCGCTTTTCATGTCACCAGTCCCGTAGTTTACTGCTAATTAACAAAGGCAAATGCAGCGGTGGAGATTTTGTGCGATAATGGCAGGAGAGGAAGTTTTAACCTGCTTTATATGCTAACATGACAAAGTGTTAAAAACTGAAGGGATAAACGCTGCGGCAAATCGTTCAGTCCCTTTCTACTTGACATTCTGCTCACCTGTCTTCATCCCTCCATGTTCTGAAATCCCTGGGACTGATACAGATAAAATGATGTGATGTTTCTGTCTGTATTTCAATGGAATGAGTTGCTGTGACCCACGCAATCTCCCTCTCAAAGAGTATTTCAACTTATGCAAATGAGCTCATCAGAGCTGCCTGCTGAGATGAGACATCTAGGTCTGGAATTGTGTCAATAACAGCACCAAAACAAATGCAAATCAAAATCCAAATTAATGTGTTTTCCCTGAGGAGGAACAGAGTCGTACTTATAGTCAGCACTCAGTAGGTGACAGGATCCTGTTATCCACACCTCAAGAATAACAAAGCGCTCTAAAACTGCTCGCTGAGCCAGTGTGCAAAAAGTCATTGTTGTCAGATGAAGCAAATAAACAAAAAAAAAAAAAGTCTAAAAAAAAAGATTATGAGTGATTGTCATCAGGATAAAAATAAGAACATAATTTCTTTAGAATCTTATCCAAACAGAAGATAAAACACATTTTATCATATATCTACATATATGTATATCTATTCATATATGTATATATATAGGGCAGTCAATTCAATGTATGTGCTGTCCACATACTCTGGGGAAAAAAGTTTTTGAAGAACCGTGAGTTCAAAATATCATCTGAACGCCCAGCATGTGTTTGTGGAGTCTTCAACTTCAGGTCTGACACTCAGCTGGCTTCAGACCAGACCTCAGGACAGAGAGTAAGTCCACGGCTGACAAGCAGATTGAGACAACTGTCGAGAAGATCGTGAGGAACTGCAGCAGAAAATGAGATTAAAAATATCTATTTCATCTTAAATGTCAGCCCTAGTAAATATATAAAATATACCGGGTATGTTTTAAATGTAAAAAGGTTCATTTCTGGAAAAGTTGGTACGATCCTAATAAAATGCAATTAAACTAAAATCGGAGCGTTATCAGTCCCCGCACGTCTTCGGAATGAAACCGATCTGGACTGCAGGCCGGTCAGTCAATCACACGCCTCAGCTAATAACTCTATTTCCTTCATACAATAATTGTAATACAGTAAGGCTGATTGATGGTGATGTTTTTTTCATATACAATCCTGACAGAACCTCTCGTATTTCCTGTGCTACTCTTTTACATTTTCTGTTGTTGTCTGGCTAACATTCATTTCTATATTTGTACAAAACCCATTTTAAATTAATGCAATAAAAAAAGTCATTATTGGGAAGTGTACCAACTTTTCTGTCAACAGGTTGCTGTTATCGTAGGCATGAAATGGATTTACTGTGGTCACGGCAAATCCAAAGCTTCTTGAATGACTAAGTATTAAGAATTTTTCAGGTACAAAAATGTGCCAGTAGATGAATCACAGAGCTTTAAGCCGTGGCCTTGAGTGACTGTATTTCCCTATTATGCAGAGTAAAAACTGCAGGAAAAGTGTTTGTGTAATTCCGTGGACCAAAATGAGATGATGGACTTTTTCAACACACCTCTCCCACGCCACACAATAAATGCTGATGTGCGCCGACCTTGAAATTCTCTGCCGGAGATGCAGTATTTTGTATTTGTTTTCTAATTCTCTCTGTGTTTTATTTACTTGTGATAACATTCAATGTACTATTTGTTCAGTCCTTTGCCGCCGCAATGACCCACTTTCCCCCAAAGGCATCATTAAAATTTCATTTTATCTAATCAAAGGAGAAAGAATCCTTAGCAAAACGTCTTGGCTTGTAACTGCTAGTTGCCACTGAATGTTGGAGTTTTTTTTTTCTCATTTTTGTTAGATTCATATCTGGTAATTTGTCAGACACATTCATATTCAAATAAAGCTATAATCACAAGGAGACGTTAAAGTGACAGCAGCTCTGATGACTTTGAATTTCAGAGCGGGGGAGCCAAGGCAAGAGCAGGATTTCCATCTCCACTGTATGATGGATGATTATCGGACAATATGAGCAATGAGCAGAGGAAGTCAACTCATCTCCCGGTGAGTGCACTAATACAGTTCTTAAAAAATGAATAGCTGTTAAAGTCTGATTTTCTCCAACTGGAATCTCATTAGGGAACATGTTCTGGTATACAGTTTAAAGCTAAACTGTCTCTGAGGAGTGTTTTTTTTTTACTGGTAACACTTTCAAGCACGAGCCGACATAATGCGCATTGCTTACAAAAAAACACACCTGCACAAGCCGCCGTCAGTCAAAATAATTGCCATCCATGTGCACAGTGTATAGAAATTTAATAAAATACACAACAAGTACAGTAGCCCACATTCACGTGTAAGCTTGGCTTATTTTCACATAAATCGCAGAGAGGACGACGATAAAATTACAAATACATTCTTTAAAAAAATCGTTTTTTACAGGAACCTTAAATGGTTTTTTATGAAAAGGGACAATCCCTGTTGCACCACCATTAACAGTTCATAAGACACTTTTTTCACCTTTTTGTATGTAACATCACTGATATGTGTTTCAGTTTTGCCTGTGATATTCAAAGAGATGTTTCCTTATACATTAAACAGGGACAGAAAGCTTCACTGTACAAAAGCGGACAGGACTCAATACCTTAACAGTAGCAATTTGTTCAATAGCCTCACGAAATCGGAGCTGGAAATGTGTAAAATACAGACATCTAAACTGACACATACGGAACACCATGAAAACACTTGAAGTCAGGTAAGCACTGATTTTCTCCCAAAACCTTCACAGCAGTCAAGGACACAGATTTCACCGCAACACAACGAGTCACAAACTCGAGAAGAAAACCCAAAAAAAAAAAAAAAAGAAAAAACGTACACAGCAGATGGTTTTTGGTTATACAATGTGTGTCTGGATGCCTGTGTGGCTCAGAAAAAACAAACAACTCTTGGTCATTATACTGTGTTATCATCAGCACACCCTGGCAGGTGAGAGTACGCAAAATCATCTGACCTGTCAGTTACCAGAGTCCCGCGGGTCGAGTGGATAATCCGACCCCCCACACTCCTGGCTGATGACAGAGCTGTGAATGAGACCGCTCGCAATGGGCTTAGGCTTCAGCTCACAGGTCAGGTAGGACGGCTCCTCCAATTCAGTGTGCAGCGGGGAGCATTGGCCATCTGGAGGGCCGTAGGCACTGCTGTCTGAAACCCCCTCCCTCTCTTCTTTGCACCCTTGGTTGGCTAAGTCCGGGGGCACGCCACTCTTGGTGGGACTGCTGGATGCAGATGGACTCTCCTGCAGTGGCGGGCTCAGTGCATGCTGCGATTTGAAGTAAGGTTTGACATTGGCCACAAGGATTGTACTGTCTCGCTGCTCCTTTCCAAACGTGCTGAGGGTTTTTCTGTTGCTGATGGTGCCATAAATCTCTGTCTCAACCATGGCATCCATTCCCACAGGGATGAAAAGGTTGGTGCGATTATCAGCGCTGTCTGCTTGGCTTCCTACCCGTAACTTTGGCATCCAGCATCTGTCAGAGTGTCCCAGTGCACGACATTCATCGGTGCAGTGGACTGATTTGTCTTGCTCTGCAAAAACAGTTAAACATTTGTTACCGGACACTTCTGGGGAAAGAATAAACAACCTGCTGGGAAATATGGGTAAAGATGAGCAAAGAAAAAAAAACAAAAAACCCTGCAAACAAACAAACACAGGCAGCGGTGTTCATTCGATGCTAACAGCGCTGTTCTTACGCGCGCTACGTACGTAGCATCATAAACTGCTAAGGAGATCAATGCGGCAAATGATTCCATCACTTCATGACCTGTAATTTCTACAGCGGTTTCAACAGTATGTGTAGGCGTTTGTTTTCCTCGAAACATCCTATGGTGCAGATGAAGTGGTGTGTTTTTCTCTGTACATTTACATATACATTCAGGCAGCAGTAGCGGCGGTATGTGTGAAGTTAAGTGAGGAATACAAAAAACAAACAAACAAACAAACAAACAAACAAACAAACGACAACAGAGAAATTTGCATTCAGAGTAATATTCATTATTTTTGTACAGAATGTGTAACGGCATTCTGTGACGAGGATGTTAGTTAGGGTTGGCTTTTGTCTTTCCCGCCCTCCCTCCCCCCGCAACTCTTACTTTGAAAGGACAAAAATGAGAAGAATAATGATCAGTCAAACGAGCTAAGACACATACAAAGACAGCCAGATACAGGAAGCGGCGCTGCTTCGACATGTGCTCATTAGTTTGAACTGTTGTAATTTATCTTACTGTTAAACTGCTCATTTACAATTTCCTGCCTATTTATCTTTCCTTCTCCTGTGCAGGCCACGGTAACACCTCTGTGGTAAACACTTTTTTTCCACCTGTGGTAAAAATATAAATGTGTGAGTATTGTACAAATGAGAATCCTCCACCACAATAGCGACACCATTTCTGTTAGCAGTGCAGCGCTAGTGCAGGTCCAGCATCAGTATCTGGCAAACAGGTGGCTCATTGTTTATGTCATTTAAAAATAAAACGTCGCCTTTTCTCCTTGGCATGTTATTAATGATTGAAGCAGGTTATACTGATTAGCCAAAAGAGCGGGCCGAGCCAAACGCCACAGGACCGTACAGACTGTACTTGTGACTGCGAGTTAGCGTCTGTAGTTTAAGGTGTAACAATATGAGGCTCTGTCTTCGTGCCCTTTTACATTTCATTTCACAACTGAGACGGAGAGACATAAAATGGGCCCACAGTGAGTGTGACAAGTGGAATGAGCCAATTTCCATGGAACTGTGATGCAGAAGGTGTCACTTTTCTTTAGCCCCTATACTGCGTTAAGAAAATTAATTTTCACAATGGAAAATGTCCTTGTAAATTGGTGGAAAATTGCAGTTTTACTTCATCTTTTATACATGAGGCAGGGAACAGGGAATCATACATGTTTTAAACGCAGTCACCTCCCCTCCCCGCCCCCCTTTTTGTTTTAACATGCGATGCCGTGTACTCGTTTCGGCTATGATCGGTAAACAAGTTAAAACGATGATTAAAATGTGCTGTTAAGGCTTGTTTGTATTGTGTCCTATTATTAATGGAAGAGATGAATGAGCGACTCTGGAGCACGCGTAAAACATAGACACAGACGCCACATCTGTATCATCTGGTCCTTACGTTGACGTTGACAGAAACATAACTCGATTTCACGCTGATAAGCTGCCGCTGCAGCTTTGGTCTGCGAATGTGGCAAATCTATCGCGTTCACTTGCCATTCTACGATATCAAAGACCTTGAGCGAGTGACAAACTGTGAATGAAACACTTGATCACATTTTCAAAAACTGGCTCTGATGAGGGTGTGAGGACAGGCTTGGAAGAAGAGAGGAGACTCCTCATGATGAGGCTGGTAGTACAGAAGAGGTGGGAAGTTCTTTCCCTTCAAAGCCGGCATCTACAAACCCTATCCTTGGACACTGTGCTGGAGGATAGAAAAAAAAAAAGCGAGGAAAAGAAAGCTTCTCTGTGCCACCGCCCCCCAGAGACATGGAAACCAGCACCATGGGCCACACAGAATACAAGCTCATTTGCAAACCCCAGTACATGCCACCACTATCACACTGTGCTGCTCAAGTCCATAACACCTACACAAACACGCCCACACATGCACTTACAAGCTTGGGACAAAATATAACAGACAAGCTGCTGTGGCTGGAGTGGGATTTAACAAAGTGAATCAGCGCTAATTAAACAGTGGAATGGTTTAAACAATTAACAGAGGTGGGGGTTGGGGGGGTATTAATATTAAAGAAAGAAAGGCTTTAATGTTTTCATTTGTATTACAAAATGACCAATATGCTCCCATCAGACTGTACTCCCTGCTGTGCTAAGGCACATTAAAAAAATAGGGCAAACATTATTTACAGAATATTGGCTCGCTGAAGGGCAAAAGCTACTGATTGTTAGCTTAATGTTTTGCAGGACTGCTATATGTTAAAAATAAGAAAAATGCATCAATGTGTCAAAACTATCGTGTTCACCACTATGTTAAATTTCTGAAATTAATCAGATTAAAAACGTTAACTTGTGATATTAAATGTAAACCCAATAACTTCGATGTACATCCACTTGTTGTTGCTGAAATACACACGTTGACATTTGGACACACTGCAGGAAAAACGTTTACGTTTCACCAAAGTGTCTCAAGCTTAAAATACCAATGCCCAAAACCCAGCATGCATTTATGGAGGCTTCACCTTCAGGTCAGACGCCCGCCTTGCTTCGCAGATGCCTCACCAGTAGGTCTATGGATTGTGAGAGACTGTAGAGTCTACAGTCTCTCACAATCCATTTGACAACATGAATCACTGTACAGTCTAATGTTAAACCTAACAACAGCGTGGCTACGTTGATCGTCTACATTGATCGTCTACGTTGATCATCTCCGTTGCTGCGCTATTCTTATAGCTCTACAGTGTGAGTGAATGGCTAGAGATGCTGCAGTCAACACTGATGTCCTTCTGTGTGTACCACACTAATCCTGCAGCATGATTAACATGATGATATGCACAATGCAAACATGTATGGTTGATCCCAAGGACTAAAAAGTGAAATAAAAAATGAATGTGACCTCGCTGTTCCAATTCCTCTCAGTCGATGAGGATATTTTCAAGATGCCAAATGGAAAGGTGCTGGGTCTTTTCTTTGTCCTTTTTGCTTTCATGACTAAAGGTTGGAGACCATTGCTTAAAAAAAAAGTTACCTGTGTACTTGGACACACATTGATTTCCAGTTTGCAGCATCTAAACCAGCCCTAATTGTAACTGTCACAATGTCATTTCCATGCTGCCTCTCTGCACTGATAGGTCTGTCTGACCAGGACCTTGTACAGGCATTGTCATTATTTGTGAATGACATATTGGAAAACCTTTTTGTGCGCGCTGCTTTTTTGTTCTGCAGCTGTACCCTGATGGATGAGCACACTCGCTGCTTTAACTTTACACAAACAGTATTCACACGAAAACAAATGAGGTCTGTCTCACAAATGTGCCAGTTTCTACCTAGAAACCCAGCAAATGCTAATGTGTTCGTGCCAAAATAAATATATAAAAAGTCCCATCTGGTTGAAACGGCCTTGAATGGAATTGTATTGAGTTTATAAAAACGTATTAGTTCTTTTTTTTTGAATTACACTTTCATTGCTTTTCCTTATTTTTTCAACACGTCACAAAAGAGGTTGAAAACAGATAGTGTTTATTCTATTAATGCATCTCTACTGAAAATGACTAAAGTCACTTGTCTGATTTTTTGCCGTTTATTTTATGGCTGTAACACATTTTGATAATTCTCTTTTGTAAATGACTGTCTTGAAAAATCACAGGGGAGTACGAATAAAAAGAATGAATATATATTTCAGTCCTTAAAGTTACAGTACAGCATTAGAAGTGAAGTCTTTTTTTAATAATTGATCGGCTACGCATCGTAACCAGTGCTTCATCTCCGTTTTTTTCTTAGACAAATTCTCATGTTTTTACGTATGGGATTCCCTGTAATAATAATCACTGTTAAATTTTTCCTTGAATAAATCTTACAAAAATAACTGATAAAAAAACCCATTGAGTTCAAAATGTATTTGACATCAAAAGAGAGGACTAAATGACGACTTTGGATTGGAAATGTGCGACACAGGTTCACGTTGTAAGTGCTAGACTTTGAAGCGGCTGCGCAGCGCTGCAGCACATCACAGTTTGCGCCCCGTGTATTTATCTTACCCATTCCTTCTTCCAGCTCTGTGGAAAAAGGGCACAGCTTGCCTAGATGTGAGCCAGAACAAGTATGGAGAAGCTGCGAGCTACTGAATTTAACACTTCATCACCCTGGAAAAACATGTACAATATAGACAGTAGGAGAACATACAGAAATAACACAGGAGAGAGTTTGACCTGGCAATCAGTGAAATTTTGATTTGACTTTTCAATACAGTCTATATATATATATATATATATATATATAGATATATATAACGCCTCACAGTTCTCCATGCTAAAGGTTTAGGGTGGGGTGGCTATAGTTGTGCAGTGGCAGGACATCCATCTGCCACATGAAGGTCAAAGGTTTGATACCACTTTGCCCCCAAATCCCAGATTATGTTGCATCTGGTTTGAAACCTCTTTTTCTTCTCTAGAGGGTTTTGGTTGGTGTGGTTATCGGTGCTGCCGTCTACTAGGATTTCTGACATTTTTTATTTTGCTTATTTCTTTTTTTTTCTACTGTTACTTTCTACTTTTTCATTTAATTTCATTACGTTTTTAATAGATGATAAAAGAAGGAGCCCAAGAAGGAATTTGCTGTTGTCCACTGCTGACAGTGAGACTAGCAGATATGCATGTTCAGAGTTTTAACCTGTTTGAATTCACTCACACACACAGCCAGTCAGGGTGAAATGATATCCCAGGATAACTTTTAAGTGTTTCCAGGAATTTCGACTTTTTTCCCCCCTTATTTTCCATTTGTATTTTACGGCTGTAAAAGTGGTCATTTATTTTCTTCTTTTTCCACAACGTGTGGGAACTCTGCAAATGTTTAATGGACGTTGTAGTAGACAGTAATACAACACAAAGAATGCCAGATGCTATTAAACGGCACATCGAGCTTTACCAGCAAAATTATTCCTCCTTTTTTCTGCCTGTTCAATTTCTTATTTCTGTTTAAGTGCCTCGAGTCTGGTGTCTCTCACCTCGTCTTTGTCTTCACATCCTTCCTGTCCGTCTGAACACCTGCACCTGACCAGGTGTGTTTCTGATCCTAGTGGTTGATTCTCCTCCCTTAATGTGTTTCACCTGTGTCTTGTCAATTCCCTGCCCCCTTGTGCCTCTTCCTGAGCGCTCTCTGATGGAATGATTTTTTTTTATATATTATTATTATTAGTTCCGTTTGACTTTTTCGAGCAGCTTTACGAGAGCTGATCTATACATTGAGTTCATATGGTTCCCCGCGATTGTTGTGCAAGACAGGAAATCACCACGGGTGGCACAGAAGCCATGATCTTGTGTGTGAGAGGAACAGCAACGTGCTCAAAAACAAAGAAACAGCCTGCCCATTATAAATAGAATCAGAGAAACCTTAGCAACATACCCAGAGTGCATCTGGTGTCTGTGAGAGTGAATAAATATTCAGAGTGCATGTTAGTGGAAACTGCACAGGTGCATATATTACCTGTATCAAAGGAGCCAAGAGACGACAGTGCTGGTAAGACATAAAAGCAATACTACTTAACCTGCAAGCTTTTGTGTTGGTGCATTTGGAGCTAAAATCTGTGTTTTCTCCATTTTGGATAATAGCTCCCTCTCATCAGAATCTGCAAAACAGTGGCTTTGTTGTTCAATAAATGTACCTGTGTGTGTGAGTGAGCATGTGTGTGTGTGTGTGTGTGTGTGAGAGAGAGAGGTGTGGGTTGGAGGGGCATGTTCCAGTGTGATCAGGTCCGAGGCATAATGCACAGTGCAGATCTTCCATCTTATAGTCGGCAGACAGTGACACCATTTAATGTTCGACTCACTAACCCCACAAGAGAGAGCACCGTTTAATCTCATCATTATGTTTGCCTAATTTTCCTCACATGGAGGAAATGGATTAGCAAAAACCTATTAATATTAAAAGCAATACTTCACATTTTTTCTTATCTTACAAATGCAGGTCTACGTACTGACTGACATTCCTGTCAGAGGACTGGGCGTTTTCAGTCTTGCATGCAAAAAAATCTCATCCATTTTTTTTTTTTTTTTTTTTGCATGTGACTGGCCTATGAATTTAGACTGAATCTGATTCAGACATGTGGAGAGGGAAAGAAAATGATTGAATTTACACCTCCCACAGTCAAGTGTGGTCTTCCATGATGTCGGAGAACACACGGAATCACGTATTCACCAACACATATACACTAAAGCCAGACGGATATAGAAAAGGATTCACACATTCTTCTGTTATCCAGGCCAGTGTTTCCTTCCTTGCCCTGCTGACGGAGCCACAAACAGTTCACAGCCATGTAAATTGAGTAGGAAGTACTGCACAGGGACCTGATGACCAAAGCCCTCCTCCTCCCAGCAAAGCTCGCGCAGGGAAACGATAAACATCACCACTTTAGTCCCCCATCATTTTTTATCTTACCAGTGAGAGTTGCTCTTGTATTTTCAGTCTCGATCCACAAAAGCTGAATATATCAGATCCTATCAGGTCAACTAGGCTGCCGAAGACTGACAATAATCTACGGCAATGTGAATTGTTTCAGATTTGTGAAATAAATTTCACATTTCCGTCTTCAGTTGTAGAGCAGGGCTCCTTTCAAAACAAGTATAACCACAACAAAACTGATAATAACTGAGAAAATAATTTTTAGCAAAAAGAAAAAAAGGGGTGGAAACACTGTCATGTAGCACCAGAAACACCTATTTTTTTTCACCACAAGTGTCTATCCAGCTTTGCTGTCTGCGCCGCGCCATTCGTGACATGTATGTGCTGTGAAGCTGTGTTGAGATGATGCTATGATCAAAACAGACAGAGACAGAGCTACACTTTGCCATGCGTTTAAGTTTGTCTGATGGATAAATCAAACACATGATGTTTGAACATCCTTTCCTTCAGCCAAAACGACTCTTTCATGCTTTTAAACCACCACTCCGGCGCTTTCCGCTTAAAAAGAACCTGCATCTAGTCTGAATACATCTTTCTCAAGGCAAAGCTGTTTTCTACTTAAGCCAAGGCTGCTGGAACTCCACTTAAACACAGGCGAGCTCCTTGCATGTTTATAGCGCATAAAGTACAAATACGTGGTACGAGAGTCAGTTAGGCATCTTCAAGATGTCAGGAAGAGTGTGTGTCCGCTCACCCTGCTCAAAAGGCTGGCCATTAACTGCTGTTGCTTTCATCTTGAGGGCCTCTCTGGCAGACGTGTCGCAGTGTGAGCCTTTATTAGTATCCTGGTCACTATCAGCCTGGTCACTATCACCATGGCCACTGTCTCGGAGGCTTGCTCGTTCTGCATCCTTAAATGTTGAGCTGCAGCAGAATGGATGGGGAGAAGCAAGAGGGAGAGATAGCGATAGAGAGAGAGAGACAAACACAAAACTTAACCCATCACCTGAGTGAGTATTCCTATTTGATAGCCACAGTCAGCTGACTAGATGCATTCAGGAAGCATTTGAACCTCTTACCTCTGGACAAATGGTTGCCTGCTGCCTGCGTAATTGGACTCTGAGGGGAAATTTTCTGTCTATAAGTGAAAAAACAAACAAACAAACAGAAAAAAAGCCATATTTTTATATTTTATTGAATATATAAATTTCATTTTATTGTTATGAGCCACACACAGACACACACACACACACAACACCTGGTAGATAACAATAAAATTCCCCTGTGGTCCCTGCAAGCGATGAGAGATTAAACAGAACAAATCTTCATTTGACCTATGTGCATCTTTGGCAAGGCAACAGAGCAAAGCATTAGCCGCTGTCATCAGCATCCCTATCCCACTATCTTGAGGATAATGTGTTTGTGTTGATCACACCCACATACACTAGTGGCTGGTGACAGCGCCAGGCCTTGTCATCTGTGTTATCATCTCCAAATGAGACTGTCTATGAGGGTGCCTGGGATATTTACATCGTTTACAACAGATAACTCTGGTGTGTCTAACGGCACTACCAGCCAAATTAGCATGTTAGCTGGCGTGTGTATTCAACACTGCCATCGCTACAAGGCAAGGCTGGGCCCTATTAATGGTCTTATTGTGCCAACTCTGGATGTGGATGGGTAGATCTGGCCCGTATTTTGTGGGGAGTGAAAAATACGATTGTAAGGTTGTGCTGTGTGCTTCTCCGTGCCTGGCGCACATTGGATCAGTAATGTGATCGGACAAGCTGCTCAAACACCTGTCCAATTCCACAATTCAGGCTGGGTTTTGTTTTCACTCTATAGCAGTGGATCTGGCAGGGTCACAGCAGCCTTGTTCAAGACTCACACTGTTTGCATGTCTAACGGAGAGGACTTTCTGATTATGCACACCACCTGTACCATTTTGCAGAGAGGACATTGAATGGAGTGGCCTCCAAAATGATTCTGATTTGTTGAAAAAACAACATTTTAGTAAAAAAAAAGTAATTCCAACAGATTGCTATAACAGCAAAAAGAAAGAAAGAAAAAAGAAATACTACTAATGTCTCTGTAGCGTGAGTTTCTATTTCAGTCTATTTCTTTTGTCAGGTTCGTATGGTAAAGCAGTAGGTAGAGATAAGACAGAATAAAGGGCAGATAAAAAAAACCCAGTGCAGCAGGTTTCCTACCTGTATCACTGACATCCTGTTGGCTGGTGCGTCTGTGCTGAGCCCGGCGAAGCTGGAGTGGCAGCCCGCCCTGGGGACTGTGAGGCTGTTGGGGGTGGTTTTTAGGTACATGACCTCCGACCTGGGCAGCGTGAGTGGCAGGGGGCTCTGGTAGTCAAAACATATTGGCGAGGTGATGAGAGAGGGGCTGCTCACCACGTTCATCCGACTCGCAGAATCTCTCTCTTCCATCTCACTCTGCACCAGCATGATGTCACTCTTGTTGATCCTTTTCTTTTTGCCCTTCCCCACTGGAGGATTGGAGTACTCAGCCATGCCGCAGTTATAATTCCCAGTTTCCTTATCTTGATGCTTGGACTTGACAGCAATGGCAGTCATGACTGCTAAGAGCATGACAGAGATAATGCACAGGGTAACTATAAGGGGCAGGGAAACATCCCAGTGCTGCTGTTCCCCACTCGTGCTTGAGCCGCCTCCTGGTGCCGCGTCTGTGTTCACCTTAATGATCAGCTTAGCCACAGCAGATAAAGGGGGCTTGCCATGGTCAGTTACCTTCACCACCAGCTCAACCACAGGAGCGACCTCTTCCCAGAGCGCGTGTGCAGTTCTCACTTCTCCTCCCACTGGATCCATTTCAAACAGGTGGTCGTCGTTTCCCTCTGTGATTTCGTAGGTCAAATGGCCACTTTCTCCGTGGTCATGGTCCACGGCTTTGACTGTTGTCACTATGTATCCAATACCCACGTTTCTAGGCACTGTGATTTCAGCTGTATCATTCTGCAAAAGTGGTAAAATGATAACTGGCAGATTGTCATTGACATCGAGGACGTTGACCCTGACAATACACGTGCTCTCCATGTGAGGAGATCCTCCGTCTTTAGCCTGGACTTTGAACTCAAAGGATTTGGTTTGCTCAAAATTGAAAGAGCGTGAGGCATATATGGCTCCGTTTGTGGGATTAACAGACACATAGGTGTAGACCGAAACGTCTCCTATGTGGGATGGTAGAATGGAGTAGGACACCGTTCCATTTCGACCTACATCTGGGTCATGGGCCAGAACGGAGCCCAAATACTCCCCCGGAATGTTGTTCTCTGGCACCTGTAGCACATAAATAGTCTTTGTGAAGCGAGGTGCGTTGTCATTCTCATCCAAGATTTTCACGGTGAATGACTTGGTGTAGTTCAAAGATGGGATTCCATTATCTCTGGCCACTATTGTTACATTGTATTCATCTTTCATTTCCCTGTCCAGGGGTCTGTCTGTGAGGAGGGTGTAAAAATTATCATTGTTTTCCTGCAGTCTGAAGGGGACATTTCCCAGCACCCGACATTGAAGCTGACCGTTCCTGCCCGAGTCCTTATCCGTCACTCTGACCAGGGCTATGACAGATTCTGGAGGTGCTGCCTCACTGATGGCTCCTTGTCGGACAGATACGAAACTTATAATTGGCGAGTTGTCATTTTTATCAAGAACTTTGACAGAAATTTTACAGTGGCCTGGAATCGGGTTTGGCCCCATATCTTTAGCCTGCACGTCAAACTCTATGATTGGATTTTCTTCATAGTCGATTTCTCCTTGGACTTTGATGACACCGGTGTTAGGGTCGATGGAGAACAAATCTTGTATTCGTTCAGATGCATATCCAGTGAAAGAATAAACCACTTGCCCGTTGCTGCCCTCGTCCTGGTCAGTGGCATTCAAATCTATGAGCACTTTCCCAGGTGCTGAATTCTCTGGAATCTCTAGCACATAGGAGGATTTTTCAAAAATGGGGCTATTGTCATTGGAGTCAATCACTCTGACGTTGATCTGCATTGAGCCGGATCTTGGATACTCCCCTCCATCAATTGCTGTAAGAAGAAGGGTGTGATGGCTCTGATCCTCTCTGTCCAGAGGTCTCTGAACCACCAGCTCTGGATATATAGTCCCATCACCTCTCACTTTTAAATCCAAAGAAAAGGTATTATAATCATCTCTTGTGACCTGATAGGTCTTTATCCCATTCTCCCCCGTATCTGAGTCATGTGCAATTGTCAGAGGGAAGCGTGTGCCGGCAGCTGCATTTTCTGAAATATCAATATTAACATGGTCTGAAGGAAAACTGGGCGAGTTGTCATTTATGTCCAGTATATCAATCTTGATCATGCATATCTCCTTGTCATTTGCAAACACCTCCATGGAGAGCTGGCACTTTGGGTTCCGCCTGCATAACGTTTCCCTGTCAATCCTTTGTTTGGTGAATATTAGTCCACTCTCCGGGTCAACGTCCACCAGATGCGGTGCAGAATTTTCCAGCACTCTGAAGTTAGATTTTTTCCCCCTCTCTATGGTCCCATAGCCAGCATCTTTTGCTATATTACCTATAACGGTACCAGGTCCTTGCTCCTCCGGGACAGAATAATTCAGGTTTTTCAATGTCAGGGCTTTAACCCAGAGAAGGAGGAAAATAGGAACAGAGAGACGCATCCCTTCAGCTGGATATGCAGTAGAAGCAGACAGAAGAAGGGGAAGAAGAAGGGAAAAAAATCCTGGTTGACTTTCAACCTGTTGATTACGGCAAACCCTGGAGGACTGAACCCAAACCAGGCATGTGTTTGACGCGGTTCTCGCACTAATTGGATTCCTAATCGATTTCCTAATCGCTATCTCGTTCAAATCAGCATATGAACCTCTTCCACATGCCTTTCTTCTATGATGAACTCTTTCTGTAAACAAAGATGACCGCCCGACGACACATCACACATGAATTAAACATCAAATTCTACATAGTGCAAGAGAAATGCTTTGTTTTCCCTCATGGGGAGCGGGGGGGACATGATGAATAATCGATGACTATAAAGTATTAATATTCCCCCACTGCTTCCAAGGTTAAAGCGTTTGGATCTCTCCGTGCTGAAGGTTAGACGCTGGCTTACAAAAGCGCATTGCCCTCATGCGACATCTACACCTAGGCTACAGCGAAACACTGAGACATGCCCGTTCAAAATGCAGCATTGCCCGATGTTACAATGGATTCACAATGCATTTACTTTTTCTCCTGTGCGGCACACTGTTGCATATGGGCTCTGCTCTGGCAGCGTTTGCAGCCTGTCCGTACCACAAAGTGGGATAAAAGCAGGATACACGGAGCTCTCAGTCCTCTCCAACCTTTTGTCTCCTCCTCGTGTCATTCAAGAGCATCTCTATCACGGATGCGACTTTTTTTTTTTGCCCGACGATTGTCCCTATGATCTGTCCAATAATCCCATAATCCAGTCCAATTGGAAGCGGAGCTCTCGCATCCTTCATTCGGACAATGCTCGTCTGCGCTGCCCCTGCGTTTGTAGCCGGGGGAGAGAAAGCAAAAAGGCGAAAAGGATGCTGGAAGATCTCCGATAATCAAAATTAATCGCTTTTTCTCTTGCGCTCAGTTCTCTCCGCGTCAACTGTTGAAACCTGCTCCCTCCACAGTCGTATCCCGGCGGAAAGCTCTCGACGCTTTTATAACAGACTCCAGCGGATTCCTGGCTGCATTTAACATAGTTTCTGATCCTCTTCCAGCAAATGAGTGAACAGTGACAGATCTTGCCTTAGGGGGGGTTCTCCAATAGGTCTGGCAAGATCGCATGAAGAAGGGCTGTTCTAGTGCTACGTGATTCACTTACTGATGTGTGCGCACCGAGCAGCAGCAGCAGTAGCAACAGCAGCAGCAGCAGCAGCAACAGCATCACAGAGAAAACGTGCAGGAGGATGTTGTTCCTAATGCTTTTGGATGTGAACCAGGGAATGCGTATAGATCGATGAAACGTGTTGGGCTGGGATGTAGTAAAAGCTCTAGGGATCTGACAAGTGGTCATTCTGGGGCAGACGTGGATCACACAAGCTATTTGGTGTGAGCAAACATGTAATATTAAAGCTTGAAAGTGTTCAAAATATAACTGGGAATTTTCGCCTCAGCTACTAGTGCTCCCGGTATCACTCTGGATATTCGGGAAAATAGAGGAAAGCAGATTCTTATCAATAATAAAAACAGCACCTGTTCCCTGTAGTAGTATCTCATTTCCACTTGTTTCAATAGACTGCCTGTATTTTCAGAATAATCTCCACAGATTTGCTTATTTCCCACTTTTATATATATATATATATATATATATAAGGACTTATTTTGCTCAAATATCACAGCTTTAAGCGGCCATCTCTGTTTTTTTTTTTACATTTACAGTCAACAACCTATTCACATCCAAGCCGTATCTCATCTTGAAAATACACGGACTGACATTTATTCCACTCACTATCGCAACAACATTTGTGGCATTTGCATTTTTATTCTCTCTTGACCAGATCTCAGTGACGCACCGGCCTCTTTGGTGATGCAAGTACCCTGTTCTAGTTGTGTGAGAGACGGCTGTGTATCAACATCAAAGCAGAAATCTGGCCATTTCCACCACACAGCTGTTGTCTGAGGGCACCAAGGACTGTCATTGACAAAAATAAACAAACATTTTCTGTTCGTCACTGAGCGAGTTTTTGCCGTATGCGAGTACAGCTGTTAACAAAGGAACGGTGTTTGACCTTGCTTGTTGCCGCTTACGGTGCTCAAAATATAATTGCAAATACAATGCAACATGGACAGCTCAACCTTACAGCTAAGCCAGGTGAACATTCATGAAGCAACAATTGTGCACTAAAGAATGTTAACATCCAGCTGATTTGTTTCATTTTAGTAAGGAGACATGCAATTAAAACTACTCAGCAGAAGCTAATTAGGAGTACGGTGGCTACATGCACAGCAGGATTTCCACTGCTGTGGTGTGAGTCTAATTCAATCCTCTCTTCTGCCATTGTGTTTGTTTATCTTTAACTGTGTAAATAAAATGTAACCTTTAAAGGGACTGAAAGAAACAGAGGTGTGCGGTTTTGTGTACGGATGCTTTCTGATTTCGAGCACGTTAGACTGGGTCTAAAAGTCTGCCCCGTGTCTTAACTTCACGCAGTGTGTCAGCAGTCGCAAAAAGTAAAAGAAATGTATCTGTGTTGGAGCAAATTGCTTTGTGTTGTTGTTGTTTGTTATGTTTGTCTTCTGACAGTACTGAGTGACCTCGGGCACCAGTGAAATGTTTTGAAAATGGCCAATGTACCTTTGCCGACAATAGTCTCTTTACATTAGCCTCACATCTTATTATAGAAAAGACACGGACCGGCATTTATTTTACTTCATATTTCACTGTTTCTCCTGGCATTTGCATTTTTATTCTCACTTGAACAGATCTCAGTGACGCACCAGGCTCCGTGGTGACACAGCGACCCTGTTGGAGTGATGTTGAGAGGAAGCTGTGTGTCAACATTAACGGCAGGATCACAGTGGCCTAGTTCCTCGTATAATTCAATGTTGCCCAGGATCTAAATCAACCTTGAGTCGTCCCTGAGTTCATTCCTATTGTCTGAAACGTAGCTGCTTTTCTCCTCCGGGGAGCATCAACTTTGCCTGGCCAGGGTGCAGCCTGCATAAATTGCCCATTTCTGCAGGTGAGAGATAAGGACAACAAAGGGAAACTAATTATCATTCATTCTATGTTAAAACCTGAGGAAAGGACTGCTATTGACAATTGAGCCTGTATTGTCACAGTTGTACCGTTTAATATTTGAAATCTGAGTGAAATATCCATTAGACATAGGCGGAATCTAAATGTGTGGCTTTGGCTGCCTTGTTTTTGTAGAAATGACTTTGTTGACTTCATAACTTTTGCTAATGAGACCACGCGCCCACCCACCCACCAAAACAAACCACCGTCCCCCACCTTTCCACTGGCATTTAAAATACACGGATGCACCGGCTACTTTGTGACGGATTGATTTTTAACCTGCAAGCACATTATTCTGTCAGTGTGAAATGGTACCTATTGTAATTCCACAGATGCTGGAATCACAAACGGCAGCTCTGCTCATTTAAGCATACCCGCAATATCTTGGCATCTCTTTCATTTGATTCACTCACCACTCTGCGCAAGCATGATTAAAAGTGAGATTAAGTTGTTTATCATTCTGGTTTTGTGCCCATTGCTGGTTTGCACCACACCTTGAGCTGCAGACTGGAATACAGATGGTGGTGAGTGTGGGAATGATCATCCACAGAAACAGGTGAATTTCACTGCAGATTAAATGCACGGAGAGAAATGTCCGTAAGAAAGAAAGTTCGCCACAGTTCCCACAGGACGTGTGCAGACATGAGATTTCAGAGACAAGATTATAGGTAGAGATGGACCGGTGGTACAAAGGTTTAACTAAGGATACACAGGCCGGATACTTCACTCAAATACTTCTACTGGCCGATCCAGCGACAACTTCTTGGTGTCTCATGACTAGTTTATTTAAGTAGGTCAACAATGTCGGTAGTTTGGAGGAATTTAAACACCAGGGATGAAGACAGGATCAAGACTTACTCTAGGATTTGTTCTCAGCACCGAACACCGCTAATGTCTGTTCTCAGCCACTCTTTTTGTACCACAAAGCAGGTGATAGCATTTTCAGCAAAAATCCGCAACTGGCGTAAAAGCTCCGCTCACTTTCCACTCATCTGTCTGGATTAACTAGGTAGGAATAATATTTAATATTATTTATTGTTGTTTTCAATAAAATGAACACTGGTATTGGTTTGTAAAAAAAACTTGAAAAAGAAAACTCTCCAGTTTTAAACTGAAATCTCTAATATGTAAACATGGGTAATAAATAAAGTCATTTAATAATTTTGCCTTCAGAAAACAGCTACAACAAAATCACACCTCTATACAGTTTATTTAGCTTGTATTTGTGTTTGGTAACTTGCAAAGACCGAATCATGCTGCTGCATAATCCATGCTTTATGAATCCCCTGCAGAATACTCATCTTTACTGGCAGCCATTCATTCAACACAACACAAAAAGTCCTATTTGTATAAAGGCCGTACAGAGGAGTAGAACTAGAGGCTTCTAGTTTTATGTGTCAAGGTTCTGAGAGTTTTTTTCTGCTGAAATCTCTGCATGACAAGGAAAAATAGAATTTCCATTTTGCTGCTCAGAGAATAGAGGACAACACATTTGAACTACTCATCTACAGCAACTTTTTTGATATTTAAAAAAAAAGAAGAAACATCTTTGTGTGATCCAAAGAACACGCTGTTCACAATTTTCACATAGAACCATTTCTCCAGTTAAATGTAGCTCTTGAAGACTGGACACGGAAGTCTGTGAACTGTACAGAATGACCGGGACATTATTTCCAGAAAGAGATGCAGTTGTTGCATTAATTTCCTGATGCTATTACCACCTTTGCAGAAGAAAAAAAAAATCACATCAACTCTGCCTGTGTGGAGGCAGAAGGGGACAGAATTCTATCTACTGTACATGACTTTACATAAAGCTATTTATAATGGGGAGTAAGAAAATTGTTTTTCTGCAGACTGTTCTATAATGGACACAGACATCTGTTTTATTTCAGCCAATGTTTACAGCTAAAACTGTCCTTCTCTAAACTGAAGGATAACTGCGGTGCAATTTACATTATTATTTTGCTGACAAACGCCTCATAAATACAAAAAAAAAATTAAATAAAATCATGCTGAACTGAGTTGACGACCACATATTTCTTGCGTCACCGGCGCCTGCAATAGTTTATTCATGTGATGCGCGACATCTGTTGACAACTCCTAATAACTGATCTATGAGCCATAATGTCCTGAAATGAAATTTATATCCTTCCACATTCTTCCCAGTGACAGATGTAATCACTGGCCTTTCTAAATAAATGAAACCCCACAATTAGGAAATGCAGCGGACGCATGGCAGGTAGTTGGCATTAGGTTAAGGCAACAAAAGTGGCTTTGGCCGAGGCCCAGGAGAGTGTGGTGGGGCTTTATAAACACTGTCTGTTTTACAGAGTGGCATACTCTTTTATTAAGATGAACATGGGTCTGGCGGTTTATTTTTAGTCAATCATCATCATATCGTTATATGGCACCCTGCCACCATGAGGCACTAAATAAGATTGCAGTCATACACAGGTAAAAATAGACTAAAAAACCTTTTAGTCCTGCTTGAGTAATAATATGTGTGTGTGTGTGTGTATATATATATATATATATATATATATATATAATTTATTTCTGTCAAGCAGATTTAATAAAACTCTTTTACAAGTTTTAAAGCATGCAACATAACTGGGAAAATGTAGGAATGTATTTGTGCATTTAGACTTTCTTCTGCAATGCATGGTAAGGCATTTGTGCACTACATAAAATAAAATGTTTTTTTGTATTATCAATGTGAGCACACAGTTAGCATTAGCTATGGAGACGATGTGGAGTGGTGGCATTGAAACTATTTTTGCAATATTGACACATTGCTGGTGTCACTCCAGGAAAATCTAACACATGACATAAAGTATTTTCAGACCTAAATGGAACCTGTCAGGAAGACCAGACAATTAAAACAAATTCCAATCACAAAGATGTCATGATAAAGCTGACTATACCTCGGGTCGATGTCGTCATCACTCGAGTAATGTTGCAAAATTTGATATAAAGGACTCTTATTAACATGTTTGTTTCAAGACATCTTTGCTAGTATTGACCTGATACTTATTATAAGAAAAAGAAAAAAAATTGTCATTTTTTAAGCATTTTTTCCATACTAATCACAGACAAAAAAGCTAAATAAAAATGATTGTCTCCAGTATTTCTGCGAAAGTTACGAGTGTCTACATTCAAGCACTCATACTGCCAAAAATTCAATCCTCTGGAAAGAGATTTTTTTTGGGAAAAAGCAATTGCATAAGTTATTGTGGCCACCGCACAGCAACAGCACAGTAACATTTACATGCAGTTTTTTCATGCATTTAACTCCCTGGACTCCTCTTCAACCTGCCAGTGTCAGAAATCGTTTTAGAGATATGTCAAATGTCTTAGGCAGAGACTTTTACACCATGTGATTACATTTATAAAAGTGTTTTTATATTGTGAAAAAGAAAAACATACGAGAAGACTCCAACAACCAAATCTGACATCAATGCCATGATCTCTGTGGAAGTGCAGGACAAAAAAGGAACAAAAACACCTAAGAACTAAATAAGCCTCCAACGAGGCTCTTTAAAAAGTTAACTGCCAAACCATTTTCATACATAATCATAGCTATTGAAACCAGGAGGTGTTCTTTGATACTCAAATTCTGTTTTTCAAGTTTTCCAGTTATATTCCAGAGCAGAAAATGACACTGTTCTGATAGAAAAAAAAGAAAAAACCCAGTAGATTAAAAAGGCTTTCAGGGTATTGGGTATTAGGTTATGTTTTTCTATGTTGGTGCTTATGCTCTAATGAGATGTAGGTTTAGGATTATACAGATTTTTTTTTTTGCTGTAATCTTCTTTAACTCACTGAATAAACATCAATTTGTTGGGGTCACTCGAGGCGTTGCGTGTTCTTTACAGACATGTTTAAAATGTGATGCCTAAACTGTAATAATCAGCCGACCGCTCTATTTATGTTGGTTTTCAGTAACAAACAAAACGAGCCTCAAACATCTCACGAGCATTATCGTCACGTTACATATTGAATAAATTAGCGCTGTGGTGAAACAGATGTGGATTTGCATGTAAATATAAATCCTGCTCGTGCCAATTCTCCAACATTTCAATTGTGAATTTGCATCAAGGAGTCACTCCCTGCTCCAGCGAGTGTGCGGGTCAGGGAGATCACATTTGTGCATCAGATTCTTTTTTATATCAGAAACGTTCTCATACTCCAGGTGATAAAAGAACTTTCAGACAAATTCTGAAACAATTCAGCTCCAAAATTGAAAGCATTTTAGTGTCTTTATAACATTCAGAGGAGTTTCAGGTGTCAGCCGGCGAGATGGGTTTAATAAATTCTGCGTTTAATCTTCATTTGATGGGAAGGAGCTGGGTGGGTACCTGTGTGCTGAAAATCTGCCTTTTAAAGGTTTTATGCAAATATGCACTTAAAAAACCCACAAATTACCCGTTCATCAATCAGTCTGGAAAACAAGACTGTGATATGCAGCGCCGAACTGAGCGCTCGACACATTCGGATTGTAAAACTAATGGGCGCTTGCTGGAGTGGAATTCACATTCAGTTCACATCCAAAATTTGAGACACTATCATGAATATAATTACGTGAAACAAGCAAACAAAGCACAGAGCCTGCAATGCATCACCAATCCTCCCTCAGCATAGGCAATGAGAGGAAGGCAGAGTCGGAACTTAAAGTGATGATCACAGGTCAGCCGAACGTCTCACACATTTCTAAGAAGATATTAATTGTTTGTACATGAGCCTGGATGTCAGACATCTTTAATTAGTGCTAGGGTAAAAGGACAAAAAAAAAAGGTTTCTCTTCATCTCTTGTTGACAACACAAATGGCAACCTTTGTCAGTGAGCAGATCTTCAGGAAGCCTGGTTAACGCCATGATATAATGCAATCAATTAGCGTCGACTATTAGCGTCTGCGTCTTGATGGGTTTTAAATACGAGTAGGTGACATTAATATAATTGTGACAAAACAGTGCAAATATTCAATCAGAGCGAAACTACAAGCGAGCCGAGCAGGATTTATTGTGTTGGGGGGTCTGGAATACGTAATACCAATGACTCATGTAAATGCAAATAACTCCGGCTGCAAAAACTTTAAGTATTGCAGCTGTAAGGAAGAACCGTGCTCTATCTGGGAGTATATTGATTATTCATCTCTGTAATGACCTCATGTCCTGAGCTGTTAGACTTCAGTGGCTTCAGAGACTGGAGAAACAATTACAGCTCACATTTCAGAACAAGCTTACAACACAAGTTTGGAATTAAGAGTTATTTAATGATAATAAGATCACATTATATATGCAAATGCCCATTTTTCAGCCAGGGATTTAACCATTCAAGCTCGAGGCATACATTTCTGCCCCAAAAGTTTATTTTGTTGAAAAACAAATAGGCAGCAGGCTCTGGCCACAAAACATTCAATACCTTAAAATCTGTGTCGGTTCAAGCCAAAAATAGCAAGAAAAAAAAAAAAAAAACCCAACAGGATGGTGTATGACATTACATGTGACAACTTCAGGGACCATTACATTGATGAAATGGGAAGTACCCCGAGCTGGGGACGGAATGTAAACTGAAAATAGACAATAGTGAACGTCAGACCAAAATAAGACTAGGCAGCGAGAACAGCAAAGAGGTTAAAGGTCATTAAACATAAGGAAGGCCATACACTGCCTACACAGGAGAGGCTCATTAGGGCGGCAGAGGATCGATGATGATTACATACTTGAGTCATGTGATGACACCTGACTTGACGGCTACTCAGGAGAAGCTGAAGAGCCGCTGATAAATTTGCTCACAGTCGTAGCACTTGTGCGAAGCAACAAGTTATAAACCCCACACAGCCTTTTTTATGAGTCACCGCGCTCTTCCATTGTCTAAGATTTAATGGAATAGTTTGACATTTATTTGCTTTCTTGTAGTAGAGGTAGAGGTAAAAGAATGGTCCCACTCTGTCAAGTCAATGCACAGTATATGAGGTGAAAAGCTCAGCGCAAAGACTTAGTGGACCTTTAAAAACTCGCAAAGTTCAACAGTATATCTCATTTGTTTAATCCCCAATCCTGCCGCCACGTGAAAATAACAAGCATTTATAGTTTAAACGGGGAGATTTATGCCGTTGTGGAACAGCCTCCCCTCCTTGGCGAGCAAATCTACGCATCATTTCTACTCGTTTCCCGGCAACATGTCAAGGTCGTCATGTCAAGGTAGCAGAGAAAATTGTACTTAATTAATTAATTATTTGATGCACATTTTTCTTAAAAAGAAATGGTGTGGTTGAAAATAATAAATAGTTTATATAAGTTAAATTTTAAAAAATCAGCATAGCTCCAAGCATTTAGTCACTTTTTTTTTAGATTGTTGGTACATTTAGTGGCATAGCATGAAAGGTACAGTGTGCTGAAAAAATAATAATTATTAATAATAAATATGCTAAGCAATTTTAGGCGGTACTCACATCAGTCAGTCTGGATGAACAACTGGGAAGTGAATTTGGTCCGTCCATATGCAGTGAGGCGACCCCGTGTTTGTATTTTCTATTTCTTTCTTTCTTTCTTTCTTTCAGCTAAATCTCAGTGCAAATGTTTACCTGCAAAATTAGACATTTTTAGTCAGATTTATGTTGTAGATGTTCAAAGAGAAAATTCATGGACTCAGGGAAGAAAGATTCACTGAGTGCACGTTGTGGCAGTAGCTCTAGTTGGGGTAAATTTTAGGTAACAACTATTTTACACAGTTTCAAGAACACTGGCTGACATCTGCCTTCAGATATTTAGGCCACATTTTATATTTTGAATGTCGGCCACTGCAGGCTCACATCCATTTGTATGGGCCAAACCCCCCCCCCAAAAAAACAAGACAAATTCATGCTTCATAATCAGACGTGTACAAAGATCAGGCAGCTGATAATTCCACGGATCAGTCCAGAAAATGTATTTCTTGTATATAGTATTACTTACAGGAAATACTTAGAAGACTGGTATTATATCCCCCAAAACTGACAATATCTCGGTACATTTATTATGCAAAAGCTGTGGAGGACATGGCTCGGAGCGGTGCATTACACACAAGGAGGTTTATGGTTTGAATCTCAGCTGGGAATTGCATGTTATTGTATACCTCAGGTGTTCTGTTTCACCTACAGTCCAACAAAAATCCCACTTCTAGGTTGACAGAACTTGACCATACACACGGTGAGTGTGTAACCTGTCCCACGGCACCCTGCTGCTGACCCAGTGTCAGGTTTTGTTTAGCCCCCTGCCCCCCAATGTCCCTTAAGGTAATATATGTAGCTCAGGGGAGGGAAAAACAACTAACATTCTGTAAATCACACTCACCCATAAGTAGTGAGCACGCAGTGTGTTGGTGAGTGTGATCTGTGCCACCGACGACCCATCTGTTTCCAAGATAAATGGAACATTTGTGCCATTTTATTTCTCTGGCCTTTGTCTAAATTTCACTCTGCTGAATCTAGTGCAGTCTCACAAAGGTTGAGCCAGATGCATCGTCTCGCTCTTAGCTCAAGTGTCCCACATACAGTGTGAGAGAATTGCTGGTTACACTGCTCTTAGGACTGGCAGAGAAGCAGCAGGTTGAAAAAAAAAAAAAACTCTCCCAAGAGAAATGATTCTGGGTATTGGAGAACTGCAGAGGCGAATAAAGTGAATGCAATTTCAAAAGGGAAATAATGGAGGTCATGGCGTTTGATGTTCCTGCACTGGCCATGAAAATAACGTGGTTGATGATGGAATCAATCACACCTCCCTGGCACTGAATGCTAATGAGAATATGTTTATTTGTTTCCCTTTTTGAGCTTTTTCTTTTTTTGCATATGCTTTTATGTATTTTTAATAACGACGTTATTAACAGTCCATTACAGCAAACAGAAGAAAGTAGACTGATCTGGAGTCAGCAGCTGACGACAGCAATAATATTTGTTCTTCTCCTGTTGTTTTCTGGTGTTTCTGTTTTGATGAGTGATGCTAGATCAAAACGGAGTTTATCCGCCGATGTCACCTGTGAGTCAAGTCAAGGAAAAGCGCTCAGTCAATGTGACGCTGCTTTCTTGTTTGTGCTCAACACGCCACTACGTCTTTCATTTTCCGTGAGGTAAAATTTACAACTTATCCCCTGACAGGAGGAGTAAACATCACTAATATGACCCAAGCTGTAATCCTCACGGGGTAAACAAAGAAAAACCTGTCACAGGATCTGTGATTTCCTGACAGCCTCAATCGAAAAAACACAACTTTTGTGTTTTGAATATTTGAAACAAACATTTCGTCCCCGAAAATGACTGCTTGGTTTCTCAGTGGTGAGTTCTACAAACCAGCATCAAGATGCGCAGCGACGCCTAAAATCCAACAACTCGATGAAGCTAAATTTGGAATTACACATCGGCAAATGTTTTTGGATTTTTTTTCAGAATTAATTATTCCATCTTTTGGATTAGTCACAAATAAAAACCAGGTGTGAAACACAAACATTGACCTGCTGTTATTTGTCATTTTGGGGAGTGTTGATTTATCTGGATTATTTAAAAGAACGTGTGAAGAAGGCTGTAAGTACAGCCATAGATTTACATCTACATTATTCATTATTCACACATTACGGGTGTGAGTGAGTGGACGTTACTAGGTGGAGCTGTAACATGGATTTAAAGTAAAACACCTTGAGTGTTACGTTTAATTTTTACCTCTTCTCTGCTAAATACTGAATGGATACTGGATTAACTGATATGCAGAGACGCTGTGAGGCAAACTGGAGGAACACCTCATAAAATGTTCACGTCCTTCTTTTGTAGGCAATTTATCTCAGGCTGGGAAAGTTACGTAGCATGCATCGTATCAATCATTGTCTTCAAAAAGTAATTTAAATTAACCTGTCAGAAAAACATCCATCAGGTGAAATGACCAACAGAGGAAAGGGACTATCAGAAAATTAGAAAGGACATGACTCTTTTCTGCATGAAATTAAAGATGAGTGAGGACAAATCAAACTCTGACCTCTTTTATATCATAAAGCACTGTATTTCACAGTGACTTTGCCTCATGTGTGTTCCCCTCACCCTTGGTTCGGAGGAGGAAAACTTTTTTTCTCACCTACAGGTTTCATCAGGTTTCAATGACAATCCATTAGGCTTTCCCACAGACAGCGCTGCGCTGGTGTTAATTGTGTCTTCCAGCAAGTCACTGATACGCCAGACATCACAACGATGACAAGTAAATTCATTTTTCGCCGTGAAACACTGCTCGACATATTAATACTTAAAAAGAAGCGAGGGGAAAAAACCTCTGCACCGAGCACGCCTCAGTCTTTCTTCTTAAATTAGTAGAAGTCCAAACTGAATGTTTGATTCCTACTAAATAAAAACACTGCCAGTAGCCATGCAGTTGCATGCCTAATTGCAGATGAAGCATCAAATTAAAATGTCAGGAACAACTTGGAGAGGCGGTGGCTCCGGAGCTCGGCTGTTTCAACTTATGTTAGAGTTTATACCATTTTCAGGGAAGGTGTAATTTGTGCTGCAGTAATACCCGGGCAACACCATGTCATTAGTTTCAACAAATCTAAGTCATGTTAATGCAGGCAAGGAAGGAAAGAAGGAAGGAAGGAAGGAAGGACGGAAGGAGGGGAGGGGGAAAGGAAGGAGGAAAGGGGGAAGGAAGGAAGGAAGGAGGGGAGGAAGGAAGGAAGGAAAGTGGTAACGAGGAAGGAAGGAGGGAGGAAGAAAGGAAAGAAGGAAGGAAAGAAGAAAGGAAGCAGGGAGGAAGGAAAGAAGGAAGGAGGGAGGAAGGAAGGAAGGAAGGAGGGGAGGGGGAAAGGAAGGAGGAAAGGAGGGGAGGAAGGAAAGAAGGAAGGAAGGAATGAACAAACGAACTAACAAACGAACTAACAAACGAATGTACGAGAGAGAGAGGCCATGTGCCACCTAGTGGGACGTGACTAACCCATAAATCTCCTTCCCAATTAGCATTAAGCTGTAGTGTAAAATGACAGGAAAGTAATTCAGAAATACTGTAGCAACTTGGAAGAGGAAGGAAACCATCCGGAGAAGAGGAATAAACTGTCAGTCCTACACAGATAGGCCAACATCAACCAAGGCTTTCCAATTACTTCAAGGTTAACCGTGAAGCGCTAATAACATCAGGGAAGCCGGAGAAACACAACGGTGTTAGCTAATTACATAAGCAAGTCATTTAGACTGATTGATGCGTCATATTATTCCGTGCTCTGCCTCTCTCTCTGCTCTCACTGTTGAATCCTCCACTCCTTCAGAGTACAGAGCAGCAGAAAGGTTCACTTTCCTTCAGCAGGTGTCCGCGTGACGGCCCACACTGACACAATGAGACAACTCTCCCTGCTCAGCAGTAAACCACAATCCACTGGTGAACAACTGGCCCCGATTTATCACCGTCAGCTCAGGACCGTGCTCTGTGGGTGAGCTGACACACACTGCAGATAGAGAAGGGCAAAAACAGGTATTCCCTTTTTAAGACTGAGGTTTGACCACTGTGTTGGCGGGGGGGGCGGGGGGGCGGGGAGGGGGCGCCAAAGAGTGCTAAGAACTCCACTGCTATGTTTATTTGTCCAAAACGCCGGGGCAACGTCTCTATGAGGTGTGGCGTTTCGTTTGTCAACTGGTTTAGACGCCGTGTTATAATGGGAGCTTAGAGGGAGTTGTGTTATGTTTATTAATACCCCCCACTCACCCACCCACCCACCCCCGCCCCCTTTTGTCACTGAGGTAACATTGAGAGCACTCTGTTCACTCGTGCGTGCAGCGATATTTGTTATTTATATACAGTAGATGAATAACAACAGCTCATCCTGCTCAAGCCCAATCGGGATTTGAGCTTTTGTTGCACAATATTGTAAATACATGTTGCTCAATAGGAATGTGAATAAGGCACTGAGGGTGTCTTTATAAAGTCATGAATATGATTTACAGTAAAAGAGAGAAAAGCAAAATATGATTTTTTTTTTGTCTGTACACTGTGTGGGCTGGGCTTTCGCTTCGGTGCCAGATAACAAGGAAGGAGAGGAGTATGGGATTTGAGTCATTGATTAAATTGTATGTGCTTCAGCTGACAATGAGAACTCCATGGCAGTATTGTCAGAGCCCATCAAAGTGCACTCATGACACCTGAACACATCACACCGACTTAAACCTCTCGCAGCTCATCGTGGAATTTTGTAAATAGGACAATAGTACTGTCGTGAACCTGTCTGCACAATGTAGCCACACAAAGGGAGGGGGCGGGGGGCACATCAGAGTAAGCAGAGACACCGACTCCCATATCGCTTAATGCTATTGTTGAACATAACCTTCCCCTGACAGCTCAGCAGAACTCCATTAAGAGCAGTGATTTGTAATGGACAAAGAAAGAGAAAATGAAAAAAAACAAACAAACCTCTGTTTCAAAGCAGGAACATTGTTCTACTGTGGTTCCAATTAAAACGGTTACAACGGTTCCAGCAGTGTTAATCTGGTCCACATCATATAGTTCAGATCGCACCCCAGTCAACGTGCAGTGCAAACAACTGTGGCACACACGTGTCAATGATAAAGGGTAGATTAAATGTTCAGTGGTTGCATAGCAAAATGTTTCCCCCTAGTGGTTGAAGAACCAAAAAAGAACAGGCACACTTTGGTGACAGTGAACTATATGATATATATGATAAAAAAAAAAAAAAAAAACAACCACCAACAACAACTTTATACTTTTGTCCATTTGTTTTATTACATTCTAAATTGATTCTTTTTTTTTTAATTCTAAAACTTATTAAGTCAGGCTCGTCACGTTCAGTACACGTGTCCCCGCTGGTGTCCATGTACGGCTGCACGTGACAAATAAAAGTCCTGCAGCTGATGTGTGACAGTGGGACAAGTCGTAGTAAAATATTAAGTTTATAGAATATTTATCCAAAAAAAGAAAGTCTTTGTGATTTTTCAGCACCTGCATATTTCATGTTGGAACAGAACCTGCCGTGTATCACCCATAGCCAATATTTTCATATAAATAAGAAATAAAGTTTTCAATTATTTTGCACCATTGCGACTGTGTGACTTCTTCCCCCGACTGTGGCTGACAGATGAGCTTTGAAAACTATATTAAATGGTAAATCAATGATTTACTACCAGCAGCTGCACCACCTCATTTGTTACATTAGGGTGAAATATTTATCCTTGAATGCTGCAAATTTTGAAATATATTTGTTTCTGCACAAGACATTTAATAATAATTTTGTTTCAAATTTGACTCCAACAAATATTGTTTGATTTATGGTCAACCTGTTAAATTCAGCTCTTATTAAGCATTTAATGCACAAACATCTATTCATTTGAGCTGTACTGTGTGCGTGTGTGTGTGTGTGGGGGGGGGGCACAATTATCACACGAGACATCAATACAAAACTGTGATATTCACACATCAAGGTGTTTTTAGTCCCTGTTCCCAGTGTCAAATCTGGCTTTAATTAAAACAAAATGCCTTTTGTTTTATTCTTATAAAAGACATGATTGAATACAACAATGTAACTAAAGATTTTACCCCAATTTTTAACATTTCTTTTGGTTCTAAATGTAAATTAAATGTAGCTTCATAACAAGTCGGAGTTCAGACATTTGGTCTTGTTAATTTTTTTCTTTTATAACACACACTCACACACCACTTATTTGAATCTTGTTTTGCTGTCAGGCAAAACACTGACTGCTAATCAATAAATATTCAAGCAAAAAGGAAAGGACAACGTTTATGTGACTCGAGAAATAGAAACGTGCTCTTACATAAGCAGCCGTTGGACATGTCCAAAGTCTGTCCCTTTGTCCATTTACACTGGTTTCACACATCAGCGGGGACACACATCTCTGAAAGTCTGTAAATAACATAAACAGGTGAAACAGACCAAATATGATCCAAGCAATTGTTTAACAGTTGTTCAAATCATCATATTTTGACTCCAAATAAGATTGCAGACTCTGAGGCAAGGATGTGACTTTTGATCCTCTTCCTGTAAGGCAACAGCACCAACCACTACACCACCGTGAGACACGCTTATTTACAGTACGTTTGTAGGACTTCATTCTGAAGTCACACTATGAATTCTTCAGAATAATGAATTGGTGCGCTGTTTTAATGAAAGCCTGGATCATCACAGGAGGAGCAGTCGCCCCTGTGAACGTTGACAGTATTTAATCTGGATTTTCATTCTGATTTAAAAAGCTGTGAAAATCAGATTGAGTCAGTGTGAAGTTTGTCCCTGAATTAAAAGTAAATGTTAGTGTTTTTGAAGGAACAGTCCAGAAAAATGATTCCATGTTTGACACTTGTAAATCTCCATGTGAATCTTTCAACATTTTTTTCAGTTCATAAATTGCAACCTTACCAAATCCAGCAACAAAAGAACAAAAAGATTAGCACAGATAGCAAAAAAAAGAAAAAGAAAAAAGAAATTGCATTGCATTGTGGGTAACACTCCCCCACAGAAACTCCATCTTCACAAGCTGGGTACATTTGGAGAATTTGGCCTGGAAGTTCAGATGCCAAGAGGCCATAAAAGCATAATCACAGTAATACAGTCATATCGTCATTCACCGTAAATAAACCCAACACAGCCAGGTGCAGAGGCTGGAAGTGGCACATACAGTAATGACTCATTTGTCAGCGGACTACTGATGAGCTGAAAACCAGCCCTAAAATGCTGGTTCCGTGTTACCTTGGGAGATTTCAAATGTGCTGTGACAGCTGCTGCTGGAGATTAATGTGAAGTCCATTTGGATGGGAATAAACAGCAGTGTCTCCTCCAACAGACACACAGGCGGCGTGAAGTGAATGTACCTCGCAGCGCAAATTGCCAGGTCGCCGCACAACTATTTGACCTACAAGGAGCATATAAAACGATGATGAAGGGAACAATATTGTATTGACTTATAAATGCATTTCGCCTGTGTGTACAATTGGCTATCTGTCAGACCAGTGCACATCACTGGGGGCACAAACATGACCTTCTTTCTTATTGCTCGCATTTCCAGACGACATGGCCTTGAAATCACCGTGGACTACATGCCAAAAATAAACTTATTAACTTTGTCTAGCTGTGGTGACTTTGCAGGATAAAAGCATTAAGTAAAAATAATTAAAAAAATAAAAAACAGCAGCGTGATCACGGTCAGAGCAGATATGTGTAATTAGTTTCTGTAGAAAAGGTATGAGGACAGTTTCTGATCCGCTTTCCCGCCTTTTATCGCAGCCCTAAAAACCCTACAAAGGCAGGTATTTACGCCTGTATGCAAATTAGCACAGATCTTGAAACAAAAACAAACAACAAATAATGTTTCATTCCACAATCGGCTTCCACAGATAGCGTTTTCCTGGACGCAGATTTGAGGAGTATTTGTATTCCATTTGGAAGCCGTTCTTGGAACAGGGCTGCGTTACGTTTAACAGCCCTTTACTCTTGTCCTATTCATGTTAACACATCAGAAGATCATTGAAAGTGACCTTAAAAATAACGAGGGAAGGATTCTGTGACAAATTCAAATCTGATGGAAACAGGCAGCGTCTTCAGTGTGTGTAAAGGAATAAATAATCTCCGTCGGCCTTTCAGTTACTCAGCATCAGAGCGTATTATAAAATGTTGATGAAACATATTAAATCTGGCCCGTGCACCGAGTTGCTGATGAAAACCCCACACTCCCAAGGATGTTGTTCTCTCAATAAGATATGTACTCTGCTGAATTTGAATTTGCATAATCAATTACTGAGCTTTTAGGGGAGCTTTTTTTTTTTTTGCAACAATTTCTATTTCACTTTTTCTCCAAATGTGCAGTGTAGGATTAAAATGACTGCACTCACTGTACTGCATAATTTCTGCTGATGGCTGTCTGTGCTGGTTACGCTTTAAACTCATCAATGTCTCATCAATAAATCATTTGGCACACTTTGCACTTAACCTACATATGCTCGGACCCCAGCAGTGACCGACTGTTCAAATGTGACAGCGGTGCAGCGATAGTTCACTGACAGAGTGTCAGAGTTTTCAAAATGGAGATGCATGAACATAGCTACTCACCTTTGTGGAGTTCATGCCATTAGTGCTGATTAACAGGAGCTGGATATCCCCCTCTAACGTCTGCAAATGAGTCAGAAATTAGTCGACTGATATAAAATGTGTCACATTGTGTTGTACAAAGTGATTTCAAATATGTATAACACCTGGAGCAAGTGTGAGCACCAGGCCTGGTTCTGTAGAAATAATGGTTTTTACCTCATTTTTCCACTTGAGCTGCGGCTGCGCTCCCTCATTTGCATGCAAGGAGCTCGTCGGAGGAACCTAGGAGCTTTCAAAGCCAGTCTCCAGGTGATGCAGCAGCTAGAGATTTTACATCTGATCACCGCTGACAGGAGTTTTGATCATGTAGACTCAAACTAGGTGAGGAGTTCTAGGTGTTTACAAATTCACACTGGGACTTCTCTTGGCAGGGAGATAATATTTCATCTTTAAAATCTCATGTTTCTCAATTAGAACTATCGCAATCAATTGAAAACGACATGATTTTCATCTGCGCATTTTATTTCCAAGGCAGCAAGAACATTCACTGGAACATTCATTGAAATAAGGTCACTGTAATTAGACCAACTGTATAAATATACATACATATTTACAAAGAACAGTTTAAATTAGTTTACAAATATTTACAGCATCAGAATCAAATTAATCAGCAATGTTTTTCTGGTTGTTGTTTTTTTTCAAAAGATAGTTGCAACTTCTAGCTCTGTAGTTACTGTCACAAACTCTGGACTTTTCTTCTGGATTTTTGTGGAGTCCACACCAGTGTCTGGAAGCTGTTTGGGGAAGTAGTGAGGTAAGGTCGCCGTCCTGGAGAAGCTGTACACGTTGTTCTGTGGTTTTGGCCAGTTTGTGCCGTAACCACAGTCCTTCCAAGACGGTGCGAAACCATGATGGTTACCGAAGACCGTGATGGGAGAGAAGCCGATGGTGTATGCGTTCTCTCTGGAGGTTTTCAAGCTCTGTGATGGTATTGCACAGTAGGTGCCTTGACACTCCCCTGATAAGGTGTTAGCACCGCTGGATGAGCCTGATGTGAAAGAGACAAATAAAGATGACAAATTGTTGATGCAGATATGACATTGCGGCCATTTGTCATTGTTGTCATTTTGGCAGATATTACTTTTTTTTCAGCAGTTGTGAAATTTTCAAGATTTAACACAATGTGAGGGAAAACTCACTTTTCCTTCTGGGCTGAAAGGTGCTGAAATGTTTCTTTCCTCCGTCGCCACTGATATCAGAGTCACTGTCGTTGAAGTCACTGTCACCTTTGCCACTGTCCTTCATGCTCAACTGGTCATTGTTTCCACTGCCACTGCAAACGCAATCAACACACACAGCGTCAGACACCAGTGTAACACATTAGCCTGATTATAGATTTTTACATTAAAACACAGGTCACACGTCTTTGTTCTCATAAAAAAAAAAACCTTCACCCTACAAGAAAAATGTATGCACGGCGCATTTTAAATGGTGTCACTGCTAAATGGGATTTAACTGTGAACTATTATCCCGTCTGAGAAAAGATAGCTCCTCGTCTTACCTCACTTGCAAGCAGTATTTGTCACCCTGCCACAAAGAGGATGGTTGGAAATGCTTGGAGGGCAGGAACATCTAAGAGAACAAACAAAATAACACCACAAGAGATTGGTTTCCATTTCTGGCACAAAGATCAAGGCAGCACTTGGGAGAGGAAGAGTCATTTGAAAACAACAGATGAAAGAATAGTCTTGCAGTTCACTCACCTTTG